ATATATATATATATACCGACGTAACTTTACTATAAACAACACCTTTTTATTTTTATGCCTTTTAGAATTTTTAAATCATACAAATCCTTGTTTAATTAATTAATCAACCTTTTATAAAGTTTCAAACTCAATAGAAAACGCAAATTTGAATAATGCGGTTTTTACTTCGAAGACAAGATTATTTCAATTAGAGGCGAGTTCGGGTGCGTCGATTGTTTCATCTGCAGGACCGTAATCGGAGAATCTTGTCGTTTGCAAAGTCTGGTCATCGGAATGAACGTTGAACGTAAACGCACCTAGTACTACTCTACGGTTAGGTAGTTGTCGTTGTGTCAGCGTCGACGCTATTGCACCCGTGGCAATAGACGAGGCAAACCAGCACCGAGCATCCGTCGCGTCGGGTCAACAACCCTTCAAGCCGCAGTAGTAGTGCAGTCCGACCATCGGTCGCTCGTCCGTCGCGTCGTCGTCCTTTCATCCATCGCGACGTTGCGCAATGTCCTCCTTTTAACGCTTCTTTTGTCGATAGTGTGAATATCCAACTTGTCTATTGTTATTGACCGATTACTGCTCATTTTTTACATGTATTACAAGACACTTTGGCACCCCTTTCCTCAGTCTTAGGTAATCGAGCATGGCCTCCTGAATCAAATAAGACCATTCACGACCATCTTCGACCACATTTTGGGGAATGGTCACTGACCACTTTTCATTTGCCCTTTCCTATACTTCTGTATACAGCAGGTTTGGGAGAGGCCAGTGGCCAACCTTCCGAATATCGGACTGCTGTTTATTAATTATCTATGTACATTGAATATATTGCTGTTATTGTATCGTATAGTAAACATCGTTATCAAACTGCTGAAATTATTCGCACAATTTATTTAAATCAGTCAATAATTCGATAACGGACTGGCGTAGCGATCTAAGTAAGGGAATGTAGTATGTACACGTTTTTCTAAGTTTTGATGTCACGGAATGATTAATAAAGCCCAGATTTATAATGGAAACACAAATATTATGGTAGATATAGTCAAGACCCGGGACTAAGGAAACCCGTAAACGCAAAAAACACAACTAAGCACCTACTTAAATATTTACTTTTAGCGTTTTTATAATTGCGAAATTCTTTATTGCATTTTGTTTGGATGAGTAATATTGAGATGAGACTTACGAGTGTTGTAATTTCAGGGTCGTCCGACAAATGTTATATTCCGAGCAGAAATTTGCTAGGGTTGAAATTCGCTACGCATCCGACTAGCCCTAGTTTAAATGAGGTACTAATCAGGCAATATTTGGTCAGATACTCCTTCATGTACAGCACAGGGCGCGTCTACACCCACCACGTCTGTACGCTATAAAAATGTTGTACGTATGTTATCGACGTCCTAATTGTAAGGAGCCAAAATTTGGGTCGTGGTTATTCCTGCGTCCTATGGAAAAGCACCGCTCGCATCGCCATAGCTAATTTTTGTCGTCCGACTCACTTACTTATACAATATGTATAATACTAACCTTGCTGAAGTACCCCACTGTGTGACAACCCTCGTTGTCGGCCATGGTCATCACGTAGAATAGGAACGGTTCAACATCATAATAAAGAGTTTTATGATCAAGAAAGAATTTAGCTAACAGACACAAATTCTGGCAGTACTGTTTATATCTTTTACCGTCCACTTCCCAAACGGATATTTTGTCTTTTCTATACACTTCTTCGCCAGGAGGATGCCTCCACACGCATTTTACCACATGTCGTTGTAACACTGTACGAGACTTCATGTAGCGCAAGCAATACTCACATATGTATAATTTAGGTAAACGAGCATAGTCTTCTGGGTAAGGACTCTGGTACCACACTTCCATTTCGAATTTGCCCATTTCTATGTATTTAGTGCCTGCAGATTGTTTCAGAATATAAAAATGATTTATTGTAAAAATTAACATTTTTTTGTACCTTTAAAATTAGGAAGTTTTTCTAATTCTTCTTCAATTTTTTCGCTAGCGATGGCTTGTGCGTCCCTAAACAGTTTGAGGTCGTATTCGGGAACGATATTATTCAGATTAGGTTCTTTATTTTTATCCACGTTTGGTTTTATATCTTCGACTGGTTCCATTTTAAACTTGGATCTTAAATCTTTTATTTTATAGAGGTAGGATTTCTGTTCGACTGTGGGATCCATCTTAGCTGTTTTTTTGAAAATATCCAGTGCTTTTTTCCTAAAATCTTCCCTTTTCTTTCTCTCTATTTGCTGCTCCTTACATTGCTGCGCTGTTAAATTATGATAAATTGGACATGCTTCTATCGTAAAATGCTTTTCGAAACGACCACCTAGGTGTCCTGAACTATTACATCCGTCAATGGGACATTTACGTTCTTCTAAAATAGGAATTTCACTATTTCGTTTTGGATTTTTCGTAATTTTCGTTTTTCCTTTAGCTGTTACGGGTGCTCTTTTCACTGGTGATCGACTAAGAGATCGCTTCGTGCTTTCGGTATCCGAGTCAGAGTCGGAATATACAACTCCAATTACATGCTTAGATTTTCTGGTGTTTGCAGATCTAGTGAGCTTCCGTGTGATTTGTTGCTTTTTTTCACCATCGGAATCGGTATGGCTTTCTTTAGAAACTTTGGACGTAGTAGCTTTTTTGATAGGCTTTCTTGATTCCATTTTTTTCGTCGAAATGCTCGAATCGACGCTAGTACCGCAGTCGGAGCTGCTGGAGGAGTCACTACTACTAGTCGTTGACGTTGCCGAAGAAACGACGGCTTTCGACTTTGGTGGAGCTTTTTTGTCAGATTTTGAACGTTCAATAACTTTTGGTTTATCTAGAATACGTGGCGATGCTTTGTTGCGTGGTTTTTGGATGGAAGTTTTTGTTAGTGCCTTTGAAACCTTTGAGTTTAAAGCTTCATCTGAATCTGAACTGTTTTCAGGGGAAAATATACTCTTTTTTTTGTTCAATTCTGATTTTAAAATTGACTTATTTGATTTTGAAGAGTCCTTCTGAACTAATGGGAATGGCTTAAGGATAGGTTTCTGTATCTTGGATGCTCCTGCAAAATGGAATATTCATTTGATTCAAATTTATATACGGCTTTTGTTTGGATTTGTTATTATTTAGGCTCACCTTTTGATAAATTACACTTATTGCCAGATAAATTTGATCCCAGCTTTGATGCAATAGAAGCAGATGCTTTAGGTTTAATCAGACTTTTTTGTTGTGCTTGATTTCTTTTTAGATTTTCCATTTTATTATTCTTATCTTTTTCATCGTTATTATCATCTTCATCAGAGGAATACACACTCATTCGTGATGAAGGTTTCGGAGTTTGGGGAGGTTTTAAAATATGTGAAGACTTATGTTGGATATTTTTGGGTTTCTTGTCCATTTGTTTTTGCATATTTGGGAGTTTAGGAGGAACATCTGTGTTTTTGCGTTGTTTTTGTATTGAAGTTGCAAAGGGAGGCACTTTTTTGCTTTCATTAGTATTTTGAGATTTAACTGCTGCAGGAATTTTCGAAAGTAACTGTTGTTTCGATATATCTTGAGAAGAAGAAGATTCTGACTCGCTGGAAGAGGAAGAATCTGATCCACTTGACGAAGAAGTTGTTGTTGATGCTGATGAGGATCCTGATGTAGAGTCGGTGGTACTTTCTACCTAAAAACAGATTTCGTTAAATAATTAATTTTATAATTTAAGTATTATTAACTAACTCTTTTTTTTGTTGTCATTTTTTATTGCAAGCGAACAGTTTCTATCCAAAATTTTTAAAACTATTTTGTAGCTAAAATTCATATAATTTCAACAATAAGGAAAGTAGGGTTAAAGGAAGGTAGCCTTTTGACACTTCGCATTGTTCATTATCCATAATAATTTTGAAATTCATAATATGTTTAGTCCATAGATAAGGAAAAAATTCATACCGTTAGCGGAAATTATTTATTTTTTGTTTTACGGGTGATTTATACAGATTTTATTCGTATGACCTAATCGTATATGCCGACCTCAGCCTTTTTATTTAATAATTTACACAAAATTATAATAATTTTGAGTATAAGAACTGTGTGGAATGTTAATACAATAATTTATTAGTAATTTAAATTACGAAGGAAATCCGCTTTATTGTTCTAATGATTAATGTTCTTTTTTTTCTTTTTATTAAAACGTTTTGCTGCTTCCACTAAAAAGGCATACTCCATTTGATTAACTATTCTGTTAAATACCATTTGAGCTATTCCAGAAAGAACTGCTGATTTAAATTGAAAACATACATCAAAGGTAATAATGCATGCATTTTCCGGAGCTTCAGGTAACGGAGAAAATTTCCAAATCGTTTCTAGATGCTCTAAAATATGTCGATCATAAGATACCGCCTTAACCAAGTACGGTTTTCTTAAAGTAACTGTTGATGTAAACTTTTGGACAACCGGTGGAAAACCGATTTCTAATGTAGCCTGCATATGGCTGTGACCTTTTCTGTTAAGAATTTCCGATTTTCGACAAAATGGAATAAAATTTGCATAATTTTCAACGTCCGATACAATAGAGTAAATTTGCTCACATGAATAGCTGAAATTTAGTGATCGTTACTTGAATGATAAATAAAATTGTACCGCTTCTTTACTTGACGACTTTTTGTTTATGGAATACTTTCATTTTCATAAATCCAGAAGGTGGGAAATAACTGGAACACTCTTAATACGAAACGGTAAATTTGGCGAACTTTTAATATGATAAATACTTATCAAATTTTCATTTAAAACGGACTGTCAGGTACAGTGTCATTATTTTTTATCGTTCGAATTACTAATTATATGATATTGTTTTTTTTTTCGACATTATAAATAAATGTTGTTGATAATATATGAATGGTAGATTCCTTTTCGCGACGAAAACTACCTTGTATATCTATAGTTTCTTCATTTACAGCTTTCTATTGTATATTGCTAATTTGGTCAACAAAAGAAATCCTGAAAATCCTTTGTAGATAGTACGGTACTAGGATTTTAGTTTAAACGTAAAATAATTGGATGTTGAGTGGCTGCTTTGCTTTTTCATCTCTGCTCTGTGAATTTTTCCGTTATAAATATCTATATGTGCTCACAGCTTATATTGACACAGAGTATAGTTATATGCATCGTATATTACTCCTTAATCTGTAATGGCATTTCTTTTAACAATTATCAATATCTATTGTTCATAGCATCTATGGTATTTCTTTTAACGTTTATCTATTGTCTACAGCTCGAATTGACATTATACATACATACATACTATGATTGTTTAATTATTTATCTGTTATGATTTAAAGTGACGTCATAAAAATTCATAGAGAACATCGATCTGCATTTCCAACCACCTAATTTAAAAAGGCTTTTATGTCTTGTTTATTAATATTTTAAACCCTGATTTTGAAATTCGAGTCTTTAATAAGTAAAGGAATTCAGAAATACTACTGCAGCTTGACGTTCAGAATACTTTGCAGTAAAGTGGGTTGCCTATATCGAAGACAAGATATTTAAAATTTAAAACTAAATCCATTTTAAATCCATGTTATGATGGTACGTTCCCGCAAAATTAAAGAGTGCGCTGTAGTCTAAATAAAAATAAAGATGTTACAGTGCGAGTCGAAATTTGTAAGCAGCTAAATTTTTGGATTTAAATAAAACAACCTAAATTTATATGATACATAAGCAATCTATGAAAATAAATAAGGTTTTACAACACAACGCTGTTTAGTAAGCTGTAAGTGATTTGTTTTCATTTTGTTTTGTATATTTCTTTAACGTGAGTATTTTTACCTTGTGTCCTGTACATTTCAACTTTTTATACGATTCCTGATAATGATAGTTAAAAATGCGTACAAGAAAGTGTTGGTTTTATTTGAAAAAGTTGTGATGAGAGATTGATAAACTCGTAACAGTTGCTTATTTCGTGGGCATCTGAAGTCTATAATTTATTTCTACGTTTCCAAAAAGAATTGTATTTTTAAAAATATCCGTATTTTTAAATTGCATACAAATAAAATGAAACGTTTGTTAATATTCTAGGAAAACTTTAATTGCAGACAATTTTTTAAAAATAAAAATAAGGTACTTCTAAAATATTATAATGCAATTACATAGTTTCTTAATTTCATTCGTTTAAAGTATAAAAAACTCTCTTTCTTTTCCGTTTGGTCGAATTATATTATACCACAGGAATGCGATAAGCCTGCAAGACAACATTATCGTGAATTTATATACGTACCTATATTTTTATAATAGTTTAGACAATTTTTGTTTTGTCGTTAATCGTGTTCTTTTTATTTAACCGTGCATTTGCGTTGTCAAAGTATGAAATTCGAAGAAATTTAAAATCTTTCTCATAATGTGCAGTTTGAAATCCCTAAATCAGTTGAGTTGGTTGACGATAATAAGTAAAGTTTATTCAGAATTTACGTATTAAATCTTCAGATTTGATTACGTATAGATTAAACTTTATAAAACATGTTAATTTGCTAAAAATGATCAAATTGTAACCACAGTAAAATCGTATTTTGTTTATTTTTAATCAATTAAGTTACGGGTCAAGCACTAATAATACATAAAAAATAGAGAAATGAAAGTAATGTATGGATATTGTTCACAAACAGTTTAATCAATTATCCAGACTTAATATCAGAAAGATGCGTATAGTTAAAAATGCCGACATAAAACTGCTAGTTTTATTTGACAGAATTGTGGTGAGCGTATAAAAATTTAATAAAGTAATAATAGTAGTAACGGAGACAGATCCTTCTTTATCAAAAATAGAAATTGATTAAGAAGCAATGTCACCCTTTTTTTGGTGGCTTATAGTAACGGCGCAATGAATTCTTAATTTTCTGTCCAAACATTAAGAAGTTTGTAACAGTTGTTTATTTCGTAGGCATGTGAAGTCTAAAATTTATTTCTACCTTTTCAAAAAGTATTGTATTTTTAATAATGTCTGTGTTTTTAAATCGCATGCCAAGAAAAGAAAACTAAGTTTCAGTTATAAAACCCTTGTAAAAAAAGTCATGCACCTTCTTTGGCACAAGAAAGAAAAAACTAGCTGTGATTTTGAATTATCTCAAATGAAAATTAAAATTTCCCACCCGTATGTCAACGAAAGATTCTTTTCAATTTATTCACAACGGTTTAATAACTAAAACTTATTACGTTCCTGTATAAGATGAATAATACATTCTAAGTGTTTTTTTTTCTTTTGTGATATGAGCAATAGTCCATATCATCTATGTCATCTTTTGGTTTTCTTTAAACAACAGAATGCAATTAATTGACTGCATTATGTATAGGTATACAAAATACATATTATGTCATCTTTTGGTATAAAATAACTACAATTTGTAGTTAGTTAGTTACCTGATAATTTTATAAAAGCTTAAAATTCTAAATAATTAACATACATCAAGGTTATTAATAATTCGGACATAGGAGAATTAAACCACAGAAACTGTTTGTTAATATTACTATATATAATTACTAGAAAAACTTTAATTGCGTGCAATTTTTTTAAAAATAACAATAAGGTAGTTCTAAAATGTTATACTGCAATTAGCTAGTTTCTTAATTTCGTTCGTTTAATGTTTAAAAATTCAACTTGTCCGTTTGGTCGAATTTTATTATACCCAATAATGCATATATATATATATAAGATATAAGATCAGGCGATGGAACGCAAATTGAATTCTGTAAAACGCGGATGAAACTAAGCACGCGATTGGTTACAGCGTCGCAGACATCGAATTTAACGCATCTGATTCGCGTTTGTCTACGTCATCAGTGCTTCATGTGGTAGCAATCGCAATTTCGCGACAAGCCTGAGAGGCGTTTGGCGCATCATAAGTTCATAAAGTTTCGAGGTGGAAGGACGTGCTTTCGCGTCTCTTAAATTCAACTTATCCAGCTAATGTTTTCACAAAATTAGTTTTAATTTGTTCTACGTCTGAAAGGTTAGTTTGATTGATTCATATTCTATTATTATTCTTCGTATTTGCCCACAGCATAAATTAAATTGACAAAATTTTTAAAGGTTATATCTTGAAACAGACATCAGGTTTCGTTATTTTATTCGTTTTTGACTGGTTTTTTTATTACGTGTTTTTGTTTTATTTCATGTTTCATTTATTTAATACGAGTGTTTAATTCTTTTTTTTTTATCCATAATCCGCATATATTTTGACTTTCATTTGAGAGAAAGATAGAAAAGTGAAAAGGATTTCTGCGTAACAGATATCTATTAAATTAATTAGTTAATAATTGTTTTTGTCCTATTACACAGATTAGTCAACAATTAAGAGAGATTTGAACTTATATCCTTTGCTTACTGAAAAGATAAGTCGTCTCCTATGGTGTTTTAGCTGTTAACCTTTCATCTTGGAGGCTCTTGTGGTTAATTAAGGTGAGCATGCATACTGTATTTTCTACACGTAGTGTATTTATTTGATGTTAACAAAGACAAAGATTCCGTATAACTTCAGCAATATATCGTGCATATTATTTACTTAATACTTGATTAATTATATCTGAACACTTTATAAGATTTCATTTTACAGGAACATTAGAAGAGCTCCGGATACCATTAAATTATGAGATTTTGGAGCATTGGTTGTAATAGTCCTCATTTGCCCCCGGAAAGTAGCTGTGCCTATGGTTCTAAAGTAAGCATGAAAGTACCTTCTTTTTTATTGGGAACGAAGACAGTGTGCTGAAAAAAGGATTTATGACAATCAACTGGTATGTAACAGTATTAGTTAAAAATAGTAAATGATATCTTTAGATAATTTCAATTTCTTAGACATTTGTAACTTGCTTCAATAGACAACTTTTAAACAACGTTTCAGAAATGGCAGAAGCAGAATTAATGTGGAACAACAGATCTTTCCATTAGTGTGCATGTTACTGATTTATATTGATTTATTCGATTTAAAAATGGTAATTACGTTTTCTTGCCTGTTTCTATATAGATTGTTGTCCCACAAATGAGAAGGAATTGCAGTTAATTTTGGTGCTACTAAAACAACCGATGCTTTTGACGTCTTCACCTTGCAACATTATGCAGTTAATTTTTGCCATAAAAATGGGAGGCAATTGGAAGTTAATTAATTTGGATGCAACCGGAACAACAAATTATCTGCAGTGGTATCCCTCCTAGATTTGGTTGGTTTGCTCATCACACTGGTAGACTGTAGAACGACACTTTCTACAATTAAGGTGAGAATACATGACTTCATTAATATTAATTGCTCTTTATTAATCTCGTTATGAAATTTCTGTTAACAATTAGCTATTGTCAACAGTATAAATTGAGGTTATTGTGCATCAATATGACTTGACAGTTTTTATTTTCCACAGAGTAAATTGATATTTATCATTGATGTATTTGTGGAGTTTATCGATCTATGAAGTTTATCTATCTATGGATTTTCTTTTAACCTTTTTCTGTTTATGTCATAAATTGACGTGTTATTTGACGTTAATCTATGTCGTTATCTATGGTTGTGATGTAAAATGGCGTAAAGTTGTTGTTTGTTTATTTTTTAATTCAGCTATTTTACTTGCTTTTTGGTGCGTTTTTATTTGTGTTACTTAATTATATGTGTAATTAATATATTTTTTTGTCCATTTCTGCAGGTTATACAATAAATGAGAGAGAATTAATGTTCAGTTTGATTATACTGAAACAACCCATGTCTACATGGGTGTGATCTTTCCTGGATTATATTCTTGATTTGCTGTTTCGTCTTCGCCTTGTAACATATGCAGTTAATTTTCAACCCATGAGCGAGTGCAGCTGGATATTTATTTGAATTCCACCGAAATAAGAAAATCTCTGCTACAGTATTCTTCCTGGAGTTGGTTTACTTTTTACACCTGTAAACTTTGGAATGTTACGTTCTATAATTAATTAAGGTGAGAATACTTGATATAATTAATTTTAGTTGCTCTTTATTAATCTGTTTGCCACCGTATCTGTTTCAGATCGACGTTGGAGAAGACAAAGATGACCCAGTAGTTGAAATAGTTCTTTATCTTGCATGCTCTATCTAGTAGAATTCATTAAGTTCATTTTATTCAAATTAATTTTTTATTTTGCATGTTTTTTTTTTGTTTTTGTAGTTTCTTATAGTTAATTTGATTTAGTTTTTATTTTGCATGCTTATTTTTGTTCTTTTTGTTTCAAGTAATTGTTGATTGTAGATTCTTTTGTTTTTTTTTGTATGTAGTAGTAGTGTTGTTTAGTGTAGTAGTAGCACTACCTCGTTTAGTAGTTGTAGTGTAGTCTAGCCATTTTTAATGTTTTGTTATTTTGTTCGTTTTTAACTGGTTTTTTATTACAAGTTTTTGTTTTATTTCATGTTTCATTTATTTAATACGAGTGTTTAATTCTTTATTTTATCCATTTTCCACATATATTTTGACTTTCATTTGAGAGAAAGGTAGAAAAGAAAAGGATTAAATATTTAAATTTTCTGCGTAACAGATATCTATTAAATTAATTAGTTAATAATGGTTTTTGTCCGTTTACACAGATTGGCCAACAATTGAGAGAGGATTGGAACTGATATCTTTGCTTACTGAAAAGATAAGTTGTCTCCTATGGCGTTTTAGCTGTTAACCTTTCATCTTGGAGGCTCTTGTAGTTAATTAAGGTGAGCATGCATACTATACTTTCTATATGTAGTGTATTTATTTGATATTAACAAAGAAAAAGATTCAGCATTACATTAACAATGTATGGTGCACATTATTTACTTAATACTTAATTAATTATATCTGAACACTTTCATATGATTTCATTTTACAGGAACATTAGAAGAACTCCGGATGTCATTAAATTATGAAATTATGGAGCATTGGTTGTATTAGTCCTCATTTGCCCCATAAAGTAGCTGTGCTCATTGTTCTACAGAAAGCATGAAAGTTCCTTTTTTTCATTGAGAATGAAGACAGTGTGCTGAAAAAAGGATTTATGACAATGAACTGGTATGTGTATTTCTTAGACATTTGTAAGTTGCTTCAATAGACAACTTTTAAACAACGTTTCAGAAATGGCAGAATTAACGTGGAACAGATCTTTCCATTAGTGTGCATGTTACTGATTTATTCGATTTAAAAATGGTAATTAATTGTTTTTTCTTGCTTGTTTCTATATAAATTGTTCCACAAATGAGAAGGAGTTGCGGTTAATTTTGGTGCTACTAAAACAACCAATGCTTTTGACGTCTTCACCTTGCAACATATGCAGTTAATTTTTGCCGTAACAATGGAAGGCAATTGGAAATAAATTAATTTGGATGCAACCGGAACAACAAATTATCTGCAGTGGTATCGTTCCTAAATTTGGTTGGTTTGCTCATCATACTGGTAGACTTTCGAACGCCACTTTCTACAATTAATTAAGGTGAGAATACATGACTTGATCAATATTAATTACCCTTTATTAATCTGTTACGGAATTTCTGTTGGCTATTGTCAACAGTATAAATTGAAGTTGTTGTACATCTACATCACTTCACAATTTTTATTTTCCAGAGAATAAATTGGTATTTATCATTGATGTGTCCATAGACATATATTATGAATGTATCTATAGAGTTTATCTATGGATTTTCTTTTTAACCTTTTTCTGTTTATGTCGTAAATTTACGTCGTGTTATTTGACATTAATCTATGTCGTTATCTATGGTCGTGATGTAAAACGGCGTAAAATTGTTGTTTGTTTTACAATTCAGCTATTTTACTTGCTTTTTGGTGCGTTTTTATTTGTTTTAAATGTGTTTCTTAATTATAAATGTTTTTAATATGTCATTTTTCCCATTTCTGCAGATTATACGACAAACGAAAGGTAATGTTCACTTTGGTTATACTGAAACAACCAATTTGTACGTGAGTGTTGTCTTTCATGGATTATATTCTTCATTTACTGTTTCGTCTTCGCCTTGTAACACCATGCAGTTAATTTTCAACCCATGAGTGAGAGCAACTGGATATTTATTTGAATTCCACTGAAATAACTTCTTTGCTACAGTGTTCCTCCTCGAGTTAGTTTGATTTTCACTTGTGAACTCTCGAGTGATACGTTCTACAATTAATTAAGGTGAGAATATTTGATTTAATTAATTCTAATTGCTCTTTATTAATCTGTTATGAAAATACCTATTGTAAACAGTATAAATTGAGGTTAATTTGGATTTATATTTTACAGTTTTTCCACAGAAGAAAATGTCAATTATCATTGATCTATGTTGTTTCTTTTTAACCTTTTTCAAATCTATGCATCTTAAATTGACGTCGTGATATTTGACACTTACCTATGTCATGATCTATGGTTGCAATATAAAGTGGCTTAGAAATGACCCTTGTTATTTTATAATTCAACTAATTTTACTTTCTTTTTGATACGTTTTTATTTGTGTTTATTATAATTGCAATTAATATGCTTTTTTGTCCATTTCTGCAGGTTATACAATAAATGAGAGAGAATTAATGTTCAGTTTGGTTATACTGAAACAGCCCATTTCTATTACGTGTTGTCTTTCCTGGATGGATTAAATTTTTGATTTGCTGTTTCCCCTTCGCTTCAGTAGACAACTTTAAAGAACGTTTCAGAAATGGCAGAAGCAGAATTAATGTGGAACAGATCCTTCATTAGTGTACATGTTACTGATTTATACTGATTTGTTCGATTTAAAAATGGTAGTTAATTACTTTTCTTGCCTGTTTCTATATAGATTATTATCCCACAAATGAGAAGTTAATTTTGGTGCTACTAAAATAACTGATGCTTTTGACGTCTTCACCTTGCAACGTTATGCAGTTAATTTTTGCCGTAACAATGGGAGGCAATGGGAAATTAATTAATTTGGATGCAACCAGAACAACAAATTATCTGCAGTAGTATTCCTCCTAGATTTGGTTAATTTGCTCATCACACTGGTAGACTTTAGAACGCCACTTTCTACAATTAATTAAGGTGAGAATACATGACTTGATCTTACTTATTAATTACTCTTTATTAATCTGTTATGAAATTTCTGTTAACAATTAGCTATTGTCAACAGTATAAATTGAGGTTATTGTGCATCAATATGACTTGACAGTTTTTATTTTCCACAGAATAAATTGATATTTATCGTTGATATATCTATGGAATTTATCTATCGATGGTGTTTATCTATCTATGGATTTTCTTTTTAACCTTTTGCTGTTGTCTATGTCGTAAATTGACGTCGTGTTATTTGACGTTAATCTATGTCGTGATCTATGGTTGTGATGTAAAATGGCCTAAAGTTGTTTGTTTATTTTTTAATTCAACTATTTTACTTGATTTTTGGTGCCTTTTTATTTGTGTTTCTTAATTATAAGTGTAATTAATATGTTTTTTTGTCCATTTCTGCAGGTTATACAATAAATGAGGGAGAATTAATGTTCAGTTTGGTTATACTGAAACAGCCCATGTCTACATGGGTGTGGTCTTTCCTGGATTATATTCTTGATTTGCTGTTTCGTCTTCGACTTGTAACATCATGCAGTTAATTTTCGACCCATGAGCGAGTGCAACAGGATATTTATTTGAATTCCACTGAAATAAGAAATTCTCTGC